ATTTTATGTCTGTATGTGGTGAGACTATAATAAAATATTGAATCAGTATTAACATTCAACTTGAGTCATTTCTCCAATGTTGAACAATGCAAGATTATAATTCTTTGCTTATTTGGCAAATTCATATTCTACTAAATATTCAAACATTTAAGTTTTGATAAATACCATTACAAATATAATTTTTGTCTTTGTTTCTGATGGTATAAGGTTATTCCATTGAGAAAATACAATATACAAGATTGTCGGGTAAATGTGGATTGCGGATTAAGATTTTAGATGTCAAACTTGAATTAACAAATTAAACTGAGGCGAATTTAACACGAATATGTATTTTCTCTTCAACAGTGTTTTTATTCTCTGTTCTTTATTTTCATTTAAAATAAGCTAAATATGTTTTGTGGAAAATTGAATACAAATAAACATATGTATTAGAAGGCATTTTTTTAATTAAACAAGTATAAGATCACGTAAATATATCCCGTATTCCTTAAGAGGGATTTTAAATTGAGGAACTTTTTAAACTTGAAATTGTGTTTACGAGTTTAAGATATTCTTTTTTATTTAAATTTTTTGATAAAATAGTTAAATATATTGTATTATCATAACAAGTCTTTATTTAAATGGAAAAAACATGGAACACTTTCACAGATTCACTTTTCATTGTGTTCATGGTTGCATATCAAGGACACCGTTTTTAATGTATGTCTAAAAGATTAATATCCGAAAAAATAATTCACAATAGTACTTTGTATTAAAGAATGAAGGATTATTTTACCACAGGGGTATTTTTTGTTCCGTTACTGAGGACATTTTTTTGTCCTTTATGAATCCATATGACAAATTTGACTCCAATAAGGATAATTTTTATCTTTTAGAAAAATCGGTAGTTTTTATCCGATAGATTTTGTGTTCATCTTTATCGGATATAAAAGATTGAAAAATACAAACAATTAATTGAAGTTTCGTATGCATCTATCACGATCCAGCAACTTTTGACTAGTATAAAGGGTTGCCTTGGTTTTATAGCTCAAAATGGTATCATTTGTTTTGCTTTACATTGGGTTAAATAATGAAATGTATATTTCAGAAATTTACACAAGTTTGATTTCGGCTTTGACTCCCGGGGACACTGTCGTTAACAGTAAAAGACGAAAATCTACACATGTACGTTCTTATAAAAAATAAGTTGTGGTATGATTGCCAATGTTCATCATTATATCATAATTATTGTACTCCCCCTTATAATGAATCTATAATATATGCCACTGGACGTTAAACGATCAACTATTAATTCATCCATCTTATCCTTTTAGTTTTGTGATAATTTGCATATCAAATACATGAAACAACAGGGGCGGATCCAGCCATTTTAAAAAGGGGGGTTCCCAACCCAGGGCAACGGGGGGGGGGGGGGGGGGGGGGGGTGGGGTTCCAACTATATGTCCCCATTCAAATGCATTGATCGTCCAAAAAAAGGGGGGTTCCAACCCCCTGAACCCTCCCCCTGGATCCGTCACTGAACAACTGCAGAGTTTCACTAAAGTTAGAAGGCTGATAGTATTGCACATATAAAACAGGCATTAACATCGATCCCTACGTTTTGATCCCCTCACAAAACAACAATTTATAAATTTCATGCATCTATAACGCTTTTCTAGATTTACTTTCACTAGGAACGCTCAATGCTAAATATTTAAAAGCCAAAGAATGTATAAAATAGATAGGAGTGTAGAGCTATATGACCAATAAAGGGCCTATACACATTCACAACATTCTGTGTATTTATGTGTCTGTCCAAAGTCAAAAGCACGCAGTTCAGTGGTTTTCGTAACATCAATTCTGTTATATACATGTATTTGGGCTTTTTTTGTGGCAAGATACATGTAGCTTTGAAATAAAGAAGGCCGTTAGTTTGCTCAATTGAATTGTTTCATATCTTTTTCATGTCGGGGCGGGGCCTTTAATAACCGACTTTACAGTTCCTGTATTTTTCATTATTGAAGGTCGTATAGATATAACTGCTAGCATTCCTCTTGATTTGAACTTTCTTGAATAGTTGACTCACTAGCAATTATACCACATTTTCTTATTTTTATATAAGCCTTCAATCCATCAAAAGCCAATTTAGTCTGCTGTAGCTGAAACCTACGTTTCTTAAAAAAAAAAATCTAAATTTATATACTGACAATTTAAGAAATGTTTGTCATAGATATCTGTTCGTGATATAAGTATCAAAATATTTAGCTATGAAGATGTGTAAACCCTTAAATAAACCCTATTTCTTTGGGCAATACCTACGGGAATTAAAATAATAAAAACCATTATTAGAAAATCGGAATATATATGTGTGTATGACTCGGAGGTGCAATGGAGATCATAAAGTTTGATGGCCACGCGTGAAGTGCGCTGAGCTGTTAGATGGTTTGCGATGGTTTATATAACGCGGGATACCTAGATTAAAGTCTACAGATGTGCAATTATTATGAGCAGTATATTTGTTTCAATGTCAGTATATTTTAGCATTTACTAGTGTCTATGAATGTAATAGTTAAAGTTGCCGTGTTCTAATTTAGAGATCGTCCTATTTGATGTTTTGCATGTGGAAATTATTCTTGCTTCAACATTTATCTTTACTTAATTTGTTCCTCTAATGAGATCATCATTTACCGTTATATAATCATAAGAATAGTTTCACGGTGGACCCGTATGTATTGAGGGAATGACAAGTGCTTCATCGTACGTAAAAACAAATCTTTCGTATATTTCCCGTTTCACAGTCCTACATGTATTTTGAATTTTACCCACAAATCAGAAAGTTGACCAGTGCGGGGTATGCTTAAACCTCTTATTCTAGATGTCAGGTAACTTACTCGTGTTTATGTTGGATTGCTGTCTGATTGACGAATATCCGTCATTTTATATATATATATATAACAAACAAATTTAAATTATATATATATATATATATAAAGAAAAGTTAAGTAGAATCCGTATGCTGGTAACATATAAGAAAAATAATAAAAGATAATAACGGTTTCAATTCATCACTTTTACTAGCGCTTTCACTGCTTTTACAGATCTTCAGGATATATATATATATATATTTAAATTTGTTTTTTAGGGATGCATCCAGTTGCACCTTTTCATTTAAAATATATTTCCGTGAAGTAATCTCAAAAGATTACTCACTTCAATAAAAAATAAATAAGGGAAATGAAACCTCTTCTCGCATGTTGCACTTTGTGTAATTGTTTTCTTCGACAAAATACTGCCTTGAACTCAATTTTGGTATAAATATAAAGAAGCCACATTTGGTTCGTAAATGGATTTTTTTTAAACACCTAAAGCTAGGTAAAGCCTATCTCTTGATATAGGCTCTTAAATTCGGCAACTTTTAGAGACCGACCGTACTTGGGCTGTATAGCTAGTCAAGGTCGCTAAACTCTCATTATCCGTTTAGAGATTTTCTGAAAATACGATGGTTACTGTCTCATTAGAAACTAAAACCTTATCAAATATGGTGGCCTTCAATTGTCATCTGCTCTTTTCGGGTTGTTGTCTCTTTGACATATTCATCATTTCCATTCTCAATTTAAAATAACTAAAAATATGATAAACAGTTGTCAGAGCAATATTCATTTAACAAGCCAGTGCGTTGATACAGGTTATATTCTACTGAATTTACTATATCCCTTATTATTACGTAATTATATAAGTCCTGTGTCCAGGTAAAAATAACAATTTGTGGTTTGTATGTCAGGTGAAAGTGACAACGGGTGGTATGTATACTAAAATGTTTATCGTCTTCCATTATACACGAGGGTGTGGATGGGGGTTTATAGAATAGAAAATTATTGACCGAAAAATAAAGAATACAAAAAATAACCAGACAAATATATAGAAAAGAAAATGATGAGGTACTAGAATATATGGAATAAAGAATGATGGACAAAAGGTATAACGATTAGAAAAATTGCCTAAAATGATAGAATACAGAAATAATGAATCCCTTTTCAGACCCTCATAATCTGACGATGACATTTAGCTTTAGGACAATTATGGGCATGTGATACAGTTTTAGAACCACAGTGATTTTTTTTACAAAAGTTCACATATATACAAGCTAATTTTTACAAAATCAATTTGTATATGTAATAAAAATTATATCTTCATGTGCTAAATTTAAAAGACAAATGGGTTTGAATTATTCGACATTAAAAAATTTTACTTATAACATTTCAGTTTTTTGGACATTTTTGTCCTTTGAACAGACATCCTTAACTTTTTTGTTTCAAAAGATAAAGATATGCGGATTTCGTTGAAGAGATTAGGAATATCTTTGTTATAAAATTGGGCTCTACATTTGTGTAACAATTCTTTGTTAATATTTAATTTTTGTGAAAAGAAATTGATACAAGAAGAAATAAAATGCTCCGCAGGGCGCAGCTTGATACAACCGCAGAGGTCGAACCCTGAACAGTTGGGGCAAGTATGGACACAACATTCAAGCTTGATACAGCTCTGAATTTGGATTGTGATTAAATATTTGACACAGCATAGGCTACTGACACAGAATGAATGTGGTCTAAGAACTTAAATTTTTTTCTTAAATTGGACATTCACCTATTATGGTCCAATATCCAAAATCTAAATACATGGTTAGATTCAACATATCAAAGAACCCCAAGAATTCAATTTTTGATGAAATCAAACAAAGTTTAATTTAGGACCCTTTTGACCTCAATGTGGACAAAGTTGATAACGGGGCCCAAAAATCAAAAATCTAAATACATGGTTAGATTCAGCATATCAAAGAACCCCATATATTCAATTTTTGTTGAATCAAACAAAGTTTAATTTTGGACCCCGATTTGGACCAACTTGAAAACTGGGCCCATAATCAAAAATCTAAATACATGTTTAGATTCAGCATATCAAAGAACCCTAAGAATTCAATTTTTGTTAAAATCAAACTAAGTTTAATTTTGAACCCTTTGGACCTTAATGTAGACCAATTTGAAAACGGAACCAAAAATTAAGAATCTAAATACACGGTTAGATTCGGCATATCAAAGAACCCCAATAATTCAATTTTTGATGAAATCAAACAAAGTTTAATTTTGGACCCTTTGGACCTCAATGTGGACCAATTTAAAATCGGGGCCCAAAATCAAAAAACTTAATACACGGTTAGATTCAGCATATTAAAGAACCCCAAGAATTCAAGAATAAAACCCCATTGAAATTGGTCAAGAAATAAGCAATTAATACTGTGCAATTGAATATTTCTTGCTATTGCGCAATACTGTACAATTGACAATTTCTTGCTATTGCGCAATATTGTGCTATTGGATATTTCTTGCTATTGCGCAATACTGTGCAATTGAAGATTTCTTGCTGTTGCGCAATACTGTGCAATGAAAGATTTCTTGCTATTGTGCAATACTGTGCAATTGAAAATTTCTTGCTATTGCACAATACTTATTATATAATAATTTACACATCCTGTTTGGTGTGTATCTCCTACCATATCATTATATTTGCTTTTAAATATAAATCAGAAATAACCAACTTAAAATGGAAAATTTTAAAAGAAAAAAAAAGGAAAAAAAAAAAATCCCCCCCAAATTTTTTGAAACCCCTTATGATTCATCACCCCCAAACTCAATCCCAGCCTTCCCTTTGTGGTATGGTACCTTGCAGTACAATTTCAGAGAGATCCATACACTTGAACGCAAGTTATTGTCCTGAAACTAGAAAAATGCTTGTTTTTTTCCCCTTTTTGACCCCTTATTCCTAAAATTTTGAGGGAATTACCCCCAAAATCATTCCCAGCCTTCCCTTTGTGGTATGGTACCTTGCAGTACAATTTCAGAGAGATCCATACACTTGAACACAAGTAATTGTCTGGAAACTATAAAAATGCTATTTTTGGCCCCTTATTCCTAAATGTTTTGGGCAATTACCCCCAAACTCAATTCCAGCTTTCCCTTTGTGATATGGAACCTTGTAGTTCAATTTCAGAAAGATCCATACACTTACACACAAGTTATTATCATGAAACTAGAAAAATGCTTGTTTTTTGCCCCTTTTTTTGGCCCCTAATTCCTAAAATTTTGAGGCAATTACCCCCAAAACCAATCCCAGCATTCCCTTTGTGATATGGAACCTTGTGGTACAATGTCAGAGAGATCCATACACTTACACACAAGTTATGTCTGGAAGTTACAAAAATGCTTATTTTTGGCCCCTAATTCCTTAACTGTTGGTACCATAACCCCCAAAATCAATCCCAACCTTCCTTTTGTGGTATTGAACCTTATGGTAAAATTTCACAGAGATCCATTCACTTAAACTAAAGTTAGAGTGCGAAAACCAATGTGTCTTCGGACGACGCCAACGTCATACCAATATACGACCAAAAAATTTTTAATTTTTGCGGTCGTATAAAAACGGTATTTTTGTTGTATATTTATCTAGTTAAAAAAAAGTCGGGAATTTCTTCATAAAACGAATAATCTTCATACAGTATCAAGCAAAATGTCATGTCTAAAATGAGGGGGCCATAACTGATAACACTTTTTCCTTAAATAATGAAAAATAATTATTTGGATCGGAAAATAACCCAGATATTTAGATATATTAGAATAAAAATATTTTTTTAATTTTTTAAAAATCATTTAATATTCATTGGTTTATGATTAAATGAAAAATATAGAAAATTGTTAAGTTGTTTTTAAGGAAGGAAAATAATGTTTGTCCCGAGAAAAAAAGTTCCCCCCCCCCCCTTATAAATGATCATTAATTTACCTAAGTGGGGGCTTAAATTTGGAGACCGATCGCGAGGCCTGACTGCCATAAACAACAGATAACGAACAGCAAACAGTGGATACACCAATTGATATGTATGAAAGACAACGGCGGACACAAAATGATTGCACTGAATAATTTCAACTACCATTGAGATCGTTTTTTTTTCAAATCTCCTTATCAAATTAGAAATGCATTTTAAAAAACCTTGGGATATCTTTTAGTTTGGAATTGGAATTGGAATTAAAAATTGCATTTCCCAAAGAGTTTCAGGTAAAACCCAGAGAATCTCACCTCCTAGAAATTTGAAGTGCCAGGATGTTTGAAAATATGTATGAATTTTATTACATACTTGAAATTGTATAAGGAATATAAAAAGATTCAGTATGTTTACTGTACAAACAAACAACAGACACCAAGTGATGGATACAATTGTGGCTTATATTGTTTAATTCAATTTTACTGAGAGCAAAATTTGATTGATTGATTATTCAGTGGTTGTTTAAACGTCCAGTGGCAAAAATTTCATGCATATTCAGGACGAAAAGTGGTTTCAGAAGTATATTATGAAGTATTAGGTATTATAAATGTTTAAATTTTCTCATTATTTGGTAAATTTCATTTTCTTAGCTATTTCTAATTAATTTGTACGAATCAGATTTTTCTGACAAATTATATATTTTGCTCTAAATTAACTCATACGATTCTGATAATATAAGGAACATTGTAACTTAAGTAAAAGTAAGACATCATACTAAACTGCGAAACATACAAATATTTCCTAAATTTCGGAACGTAAACATATGATAATTAATTAGTTAAGGTTACAAATTTAGGCAGATAAAAAGAAGGGGGGGGGGGGGGGGGGGGGGTCAATGCATTTGAATGGGGACATATGGTTAAAACCACCCCTTTTATCCTGGGTTGAGAACCCTCTTTTTAAAAATGGCTGGAATCGCCACTCTTTAAAACGTAGCAATTTATAAATTATTTATATTAAGTAGAATTATAAAATTGATGAGTTTTATAATTTGACAACACTCATTGATATTGGAAATACTATACTGCAATTAATTTATTTAATACATGGAGTGTTTAGTAAAACTGTCGACCAATCAACACAGAAAGTGAGATATCTAAAATTTGTATACCCTTATAGATTTTCATTATCATACATCAATCTTAAATGCAATTCCAAATAAAATGGCTTTGAGAACCGTGTATTAAGCGCTTATCGTTCATTCGTCAATGAATCATTCACCATGCGTGTATCGTGTGTTCATCATTCATCGTCATCGTGCGTGTATCGTGCGTTCATCATTCATTTTTCATTAATCCTCCGTGTAACGCTCATCACTCATCGTGCGTGTATCATGTATTGTGCATTCACCGTGCGTGTATCGTGCGTGTGGTCAGTTTGAATTTTAGAAGGTCTGTACTATAGATTATAGCTGGAATAGCTATGACAATTTGAAAATCTGTGGTCTTTAGTTTTCGATGGTAGGGGGTACAATTTTTTATGGCTGGGTAAAAATGTTTAAAAATAATTTTATCATGTTTTATTCCTATCAAGTACTAAATATTAAACAGGGAGGCTTCAGTTTTCCATGGTAGGGGGTTTTATATTGCCAATCTGAAAGCCATTTCCAACTGATTTTTATTTTAGAATGTTCTTATATTCTGTTACACCATTGTCCCAGGTTAGTGGAGGACTCAAAAACATGTTTAACCCTGCCACATTCTATATGTGCCTGTCCCCAAGTCTAAAGTGAGAGTCTGAATAAGTGAATCTGTGAGCTACTGCTCACTAATGATACCCCCGCCCCGCTAAAAGTATAAGGTAAACAGGAAGTTGTTGAGTGATGAATCTGAAAACACATCACGCATCACATGGTGTAGCTGACTCATATAAACCCTGAAACCAAATTTCAGAAATCCTTGTAATGTAGTTCCTGAGAAAGATGCGACGAAAAATTATCACGGGACGGAAGGACGGACAAACAGAGGTAAAACAGTATACCACCACTTTTTTAAAGCGGGGGTATAATGACATTGATAAAACGGGAAAATTTGAGTTTAAAAATAGACACTCCTAACTCATTAGGCATACCTCAAATACCACTTGTTAGATTTTTTTTTAAAATTTACTATATGGATGATAAGTTCTATTCGGAGAAAAACTAACAGATTTTTGGGAAAAAATTTTTAGAACTAATCATTCACTGCGAGATTAAGATTGCCATTTGGCTGTCAGAAGATGAAATAATTTACAGTTGACCTACTTGGAAGGCCTGTTACAAATGTTTCTGACAATAGAAAAAGGCATGTTTAACACTATTTTGTAGATAATTTAATGTATATTTACCATAAAACAAGTTTTAGTGTGATAGACAACCTTGGAATCGAAATATAACAGGTCACAACCCAGTGTCATTTCTTAACAAGAGGCTCCTGAGAGCCTGATATCGCTCACCTGTAATTTCAGTTTCAGGCATTTGACTTATTTGTAGATCTTACTTTGCTGAACAATTTTGTTATTTACACTTTCTCTCTTTCTATAATAATATTAAAGATAATACATAACCCCAAACTGTGAAAACTAACTATTTCTGGACAGTAACCCAACAATAAGTTGTTCTACTGGTCTGAAGATTACTTTACAGGTAGATCTAAACCTGTTTAACACTTTCACCTATGTCAGTTTTGCTCTTACTGCTTTAGTTTTTGAGATGAAAGCCAAAAACTTCATTTGACCCCTATGTTCTATTTTTAGCCATGGCAGCAATGTTTGTTGATGGATCAAAACTTCGGATACATTTTACAAACTAGATACCCTAAGGAACATTCAGTTGAAGTTTGAAGGTATTTGGCCCAGTAGTTTTAGAGGAGAAGATTCTTGAAATAGTTTATGAAGACGACGACAGATGCCGGACGCAAAGTGATGGAATAAGCTTTTGGGCCAGGTGAGCTTAAAATTTGAATTGGGTACCTTGTCACCTGCTTGTTATATTAAAGTATATAGATATATTTTTTTTCAAGACTAAGTGCTTGTTGATATTTGGTCTCATTGACAATCATACCACATCTCCTTCTTTTTATAAGTCATGTATAACTATTATAACTACTGTTAAATAGTGACAAAATATGAAAACACACTTTTACAGGTATTTACCAATATTGCATGCTGAAAACTGACCCTATAATTTTTATTTTTTACTTCCAAATATATTTGATTGTGATCAGGTGATATACTCAATCTAACAATTCATGATAAACATTTTTAGAAGAAAATTGTTCTAAGGGTATGTGTGATTAGCACCTTAAGGGCCATTAGCTACGAGATATGAAAAAAATCAGAATATGATTTAGTTTGGTTCAATCATTAATAAAAGTGAAATAATGAAATAATAATTTGCTTTCAGGAGCCAATTTGGATCAATTTTTGTCAAAATAAGCAAAGAAACATCGCTGATGAATTATTCACTTGCAAGTGGATAATTTCGACCTCACTGAATCCGTATTCATGTGACCTTTAATTTAACCCATTAGCTAGAGATTGGTTACGCATGTTTTTGTAGTGTTCAGCCATTAAAAGGAAAAGAATGTCAACATTGAAAGTGAAACAAAAGTGAAACAAAGGTGAAACATTTCGTTGACTGATTCGATCCACAAAAAATCATTCTTATACAGGTAAAAACGACAATTAACTTTTTGTTTTTTAACCTATAACATGAAATCGAACAGACAAAGAAAAGTCCAATTGCACCAGGTTGATATCTACTTATATTTATGTTTATGTTTATATCAGGTTATGTGACATTCGCCAGTCTTCAGAGGTCATCTCAAGTTAATTAGATGGCAGATAGACTAAAATACACACGAAATTCTGATAAATATTATCCAGTACATGCTTTGTTAACTGTTTACTTCAGACTTATTGTAATTTAGATACATGTTTTAATAGTGTGTTATAAATCAAATATGAGAATTTGAGTCAAATCGGTGAACATAATTTTGACAGATAATGCCCCTTTAAATAGACATCTGTGAACAAAATAGAACTTGAGATGAAGATTTCCTTATAATTCAAGAATGAATTGAAGAGTAGCTAGAGGCTCTCAAGAGCCTGTGTCGCTCACCTGTATTTACTGATGCTTTGGAAATCATGTAAAATAAGGTTAAAATCATAATTAATA